GTGAAGATGGAGCAAGACCGTCAAGCCATCAACCTGTCAACTCGAGAAGAGGCTGTCTAGATAGGACGAGATAGGACGACACGTCGATGGGAAGTAGCAAAAGTGCAAAACATGCCCCCCCCCGCGACGAACTGCGCTCTCATGTAGTTCCGAATGTTAAAACATTAATAAGCACAAAAAATTCATTGCAAAAATTCCAAAAGTCCAGAAAGAATCCGGAAGATTTTGTAAGAAATTTCATTTTGATTTCTTCCTTTGAATATTTCGATAGCACCTTCCGCAGCGATCTAAATGCTGCATTTGGGGAAATGGACTGTTGTGGTGTTTCCTCCAGTTGACTCTGCCTCAGCCGGCGTGAGGAAGATACCCTTGCGAGAGGAGCGTTTGGAAGTATTAACTAATAGACCTAGCCATCACCAAGGAACATCATTAACGCGTAAAACGCAGCTTGGGGGTCGGGGGTGACAGCTTGAGAGTGGGGGATCGCGATTTGCAGTGAGAAAAGAATAATTTGCACATTTTGTTTGTGCAGAAATAATGTCATATTTCAGCCACGCCCAGCAAAGGAGGCCTTGGTGCACGTCTGAAAAACTCAATTTTTGGCTCAAAAAAGCGGCTTAATGGCTAGACGGAGGAGGCTCTGGGATCTGATATGTCTACGTCTTCAATTGCTCATTTAATTTTGTATTTTTGTTTTGTTCAAGTGCGTTTTCCTAAACCTTTAGCATGTACACCTCTCTTTTTAAAACGCTTAACCCTTTTGGTTTCCAGCCTTTTTGCATCCATACTTAACTTGCTCTTCGCCGCTCCTTTACGCCCCAGCCTTTATTAATCAATAAATATCTGCTAAATGCTTATAATTTAATAATCATCACTGGTCGCACCGTTCCCGCGTCATGTCCCCTGATCACCTGAAGTTCCTGTGCCGGAAATGTGCCATTCATACACACACATTGGGTCTGTTGTGCTGATGTTTCTCACTGTCTCTCTCTCGAGCACATTTATTTTATTATGTAGAAGAGCTGTTTATTTGTAATCGTTTTGTTTTTGTTCTTGAAAATATTTTTATTTGTATTTTTGTAATTAAATAAGAAGCCCACAGCCTGCAATAATGAATCGTTCTGTCGACACA